AATAAAAGGGCAATAAAACATTGTTTTCTACATGTTAGGCACCTAAAACCATTTCTTTTCTTTTCTTTCTTTTTTTTTTTTTTTTTTTTTTGAGATGGAGTTTTGCTCTTGTTGCCCAGGCTGCAGTGCAATGGCACAATCTCGGCTCACTACAACCTCTGCCCCACCGGTTCAAGAGGTTCTCCTGCCTCAGCCTCCCAAGTAGCTGGGATTACAGGCGCCCGGCACCACGCCCGGCTAATTTTTTGTATTTTTAGTAGAGATGGGGTTTCACCATGCTGGCCAGGCTAGTCTCCAACTCCAGACCTCAGGTGATCCACCTGCCTTGGCCTCCCAAAGGGCTGGGATTACAGGCATGAGCCACCGTGCCCAGCCCCTAAAACCATTTCATAAGAATATTTGTGGCTAATGATTAAATGTGATGGGAAATAAAGCCTTTTTAAGTTGAAGTTATTTTAACAAACAGGATAATTCTAGAGTTGAATTATGTGTAAAACACAAAAAGACCTTGAATAAATGTCAACAAGTTATGAAAATTGTTCACATCATAAAACATATAGATTTGCAGCCTGAGTCAAAATGCATGGCTTAAAATGACACTGTTTCTCTAGCATCTCCAGGGAGTGCTTTCTTGGTTACTCTTCAGTGTTTTAATAATGCTCTTTTTTCCTCTACTTTTTAAAAGTTTTGTGCCGTCAGATATATATGATACTCCATACCACCTTGCTGATGCTAAGACAGCTATTGTATCCATAAAACCACTGCACAGTGTCTAAATCAGGAGCTGAGTATGTTCTTCTACCTTTTATCAGCTCTAAAAAATGCAGAGCAAACATTATCTATTGTTAATTACCTGTAAAGTAGGGCTTTAGCCACTTCCCCTGTTTCTAAGAGCCCTGAAGTGAAACCTAAAAGAAGTCACCCATTGTTTTCAATTGTGCAAGGGCCAGGAGCAAACAGGGCTCAAATTGCAGCTCTGAAAGGCCACAGGAAATTGGCATACCACTAATCTGCACTCAACTATTCAAAGAAACAAAGCCTGCATTCCTGCTGAAAAACTCACCAGCAGAAACCCAAGGCAGATCTGTTCAGTAAGGACCACAGAATAAATCTGCAGAAATAAAAGTTTTTAATTAGAGTGCCATGAGACCTGGCTCTAGTTTCCTAGCTCTGAGAGTAACACACATCATTTAGATTTCTACGTAGACCTCCCAATTTTCCCCAAAATGAGACTACATAATTAGAATCCTTCCTGTTTAATAATGTCAGCAGGGATGGGGTTGGAGGAGATAATTTAATAAGAGGTTAGCTGTTCACTATAGATAGCTAGCTGAGTTATAATAAACTAGAGTACTGAAATAAAAATGTAAGGGAATTTTGTGTATTTGGGCTTTAAACATCCCCTGTAAACACAACAACGTTGTTTCTAAAGCATAGGAGTTCAATACAGTTAAGAAATTGGCCAGATTATCTTCCATGTGAAACAGAACAATTTAAAATGAGCTTCCTATAAAATTCAAGTATGAAAATAAGGATTTTTTTTCAACTGGATATTCCATCACAGCAAAAGTCATGAGCCAAATTGTGATGCCTCAGCTGCTGTGGCCCATCTACTTGATCTTAGATAGTGAGAGCGGAATAAACTAACAGAATCAGGGAGGTTAGGTTCTAGTCCTAACTTTATCAATAAATGTGAAAATCATAATCCTCCCTGTGTTAGATTTTCTTATCTGCAAAACTAGGCTAATAACTTGGCCCCTCTTTAACTCATAAGTATGTCAAAAGCCCAATATGTTATAACCTAGATACTTATAGAAAATGTCATGTGCAATATAAAATCTGAGATATTACTGTATTTAATAACAGTGCTTTGAGTGATAGATTCCATAATATTATAGATCTATCCCCAAGACCATTCAAAAGTATTTATAGCCATAGTACATTTGAAAAAAAAAAAAATGTTTTGAGGGGTTTCATGCCTAGGCCAAGTTCAGCAAGAAGAGTAAACAATAATTTAGTATCCAGGAGAAAGAGCATTAGCATCTAAGAAGCTGGGAAGGGCCCTGGCATTTTCCAAGCTCCAAGTCAACTCGATTTAATTACTTTTAAGGATACTTTGGATGCTTAACAGAGAAGACCAAGTGGTTTGCATTATGAATAACTAAAAATAGATTAGTAAAATGAAGGAGGAGTTGATTCAGGCATTTCCCTGTCAGGCCTATTTGGGATGTTATAGAAAGGATGCATTATTCTATCCGGTGAGAGGTGAGCCGATTCCACAGCCTTGAACATCTGTATCCTCTAGGGCCAGAGGTTTTACTGCCACAATTCTTAAAATTACTCTCCCCTGGAAACCTTAACATGATCAATGATATTACGAAAATTCTCTGCAGCAGATAATTACATATCTTTTTTAGAATTCTATTTACTAGTATTTGCTAGACAAAAATGACTTTAGGCAGGATACACATCATGTCAGAATATATATTTTATTAATGCAGTAAATGGCCCTCTGGCCAGAAAAACAAAAGCCAAATATGGGTTTTTATGACTCGATTGTAAAATGCAGGGAAATATATCAATCAATATTTATTGAGTGCCTACTATAGGCAGAGCACCTTAGGAGTACAGGTAAATCTACAACATAAACCCAGGCTGAAAGAACTATAATGTGGAAGGGAGACAAGACATAAACATTAAAAACTCAACATTAAAAGTAATGATCAGTTTATAGAATGTTGTTACTAAAGAATTTCTGGGAGAGATTATTTTGCCATGATCCAGTCAGAAAAGTAGGATTTAAACCTTGTTGCAAAGAATAGGATTGAAAAGGCAAAGGCAGCGTCTCAGGTCTGGAGTTGAAGGTATGTTGCAGGGACAGAGAGCGAACCAATTCCACTGGATAGAAGATTTATGTTTCAGAAAAGTAGGAAAGAAGGGTGAAAGGGCAGGGTAGGAGTCTGAAAGCGCAGCCACAAATGCACAGTGTGTGCGTTTTAACTTAATCCTAGAATTAATGTAAAGAGTGACTGCAGGAAAAGACGGCAGGGCAAGAGGCAAAGAGAAGACTTGGGGTGTCAAAAAGACATACAGTCTGATGAACTGGAAAAGATTAATTTTTAATATGGTTATTTGTTATGCAGTCATGCTGTAGACCAGTAACATCATATGATAAATGACACAAATGTTTCCAAGTGTAAATCATCATATTCCAAGTAGGCAGCCACCAGTAGACACACATTTTCCATTGGGTCAAAAGGACCCAAAATTTTATTTGCACACAAAAATATAGTTGTGTGTTTTTTCCTCTTGAGAACCGATCCCATAGGTAACATCTGAACAGCCCCCATCATGAAATCGCTGCTCGATGCTCCCCGCTGCCTGCGGTTGACTTAGTCATTTGTTGTGCCATAGGAAGGAGGTGACAGTTACTGCTTGGATACGTTTGTAGGGCATAACCTCAAAGGAACTTCCTCACACTCTATAGTAGAAAGAAATAAATGTTTGTTTTGAAAGATAAGCATGGGTAAGTAGAAAAAAATGCTCAAGGGCAAATACTTTTAAAAACATGCTTTATGAAAGAATGTTGGGTTTTTTTTTTTTTTTTCAAAAAAGGCAAGTTCAAGCAGACTATTTTTTTCCAAGAGTACTGCCTGCTTTTCTTCTTTCCAAAATTTGCCAGATTTTACAATCCACACAAAGCATATTTTCCCTAAGGATTAAGAGATCCTTCCTCCCTCATTAAAATTTTTATTTAAGAAATTAAGGGACCACAGGGTACCATATCCCATTATTTACATAGAGTGTGAAGCAATTTTGGACTCTCACACTTGACTTTTTTTTTTTTTACCAAACTTTGGAAATCAAGCAATGCCAGCTTCTTCAAATTCAAGTTTTACTATTTTATAAACATCACCTTAAAAAAACAATTTCCAAGTCTCTACATGTGCCTCATATATACCACCTATAAAATAGAGAAAAAATTTAAACTCCAATACTATTATTTACAAGTATTTCAAATTAAAAGAAAAAAAATGACCAATTCCAAACCCAAAACTATTTTGCCCTTCCTTTGTGTTGCTTCTGTAAGAATTCAGGTTTTATTGGATCAGCCTATCTTTATGCTATATTCTCTTCAGGAATTATAAATTAAACTCCCAAACTTCAAGTACAAACAAGGTCCACATAATGAAAATAGTACAGGCCTTTAAAAGTATTGTTCATGTCTTTCTCATTCAGTTGGTTCTATTTCCTACTAGCTGCTTATCCTTGAGCATGTCATTTCACCTTTCTGGGGTTCAATTTGCTTTACTTTTATTATTCTTATTCTTATTCTTATTATCACTATATTGAGAAGGAGTTTCGTTCTTGCTGCCCAAGCTGGAGTGCAATGGCGCAATCTTGGCTCACTCTGCCTCACAGGTTTAAGTGATTCTCCTGTCTCAACCTCCCAAGTAGCTGGGATTACAGGCGTGAGCCACCAAGCCTGGCTAATTTTTTTTTTTTTGAAACAAGAGTCTTGTTGTGTCACCCAGGCTGTAGTGCAGTGGCACAATCTTGGCTCACTGCAACCTCTGCCTCTTGGTTCAAGTGATTCTCGTGCTTCAGCCTCCAGAGTAGCTGGAACTACAGGCGCTCGCCACCATGCCCAGCTGATTTTTTTTTGTATTTTTAGTAGAGATGGGTTTTCACTGTGTTGGCCAGGCTGGTCTTGAACTCCTGACCTCAAGTGATCTGCCTGCCTTGGCTTCCCGAAGTGTTGGGATTACAGGCGTGAGCCACCATGCCTGGCCTAATTTTATTTTTAGTAGAGATGTGGTTTCACCTCTTTGGCCAGACTGTTCCTGAACTTCTGACCTCAAGTGACCCACCCACCTCGGTCTCCCAAAAGTTCTGGGATTACAGAAGTGAGCCACTGTGCCTGGTCCAGTACCCAGATTTTTGACCATCAAGTGGCACACTGAGCTAGGGGGACCCAACAAGACATGTCACCCCTAAGGAAAGCCACCAGATGGGGGCAACTGCCCACTTTATTAGACAGTAGGTGGCCCACAGGTCTCCTCAAGGCCCACCCTCACAGTGGACACACCACACAGGACAACAGAAGGAACCTGCTACCTGGTCCTCTGTCCCTGGGATTCTGGTTCTGGGACAGGTGGGAAAGAGGAAGGTGGGGGCTGGCCTCACAGAGGCCTCATAAATACAAGGTCACTGGCCAGGGATGCAAAGGAGTGCAGCAGCAGGGACTCAGGGAGGATGAGCTGTCCTAGACTGGCCCATGTCACGCAGCCTCCTGTGTGGGAGGGGGCCTCGGCTCAGCATCCAGGCGGCACAGGGGACTGTCGTACACCATCTGCAGGTTCACCTTGTGGCCCACCAGGTCCCGGATGTTGTTGATGCCATATTTGATCATCGTTGGGCTTGTAAGAAAGGGAACAGAGTTTACCATGAGGTCAGCACATGCACTCTTTGGCTTAGGATGGCTCCCATCTTCCTCAGAGGAAAAGTTCAAGTTCTCCCCATGACCCATAGGGCCCTGCGCCAACTGCTCTATCACCTCTCACCCTCTGCCTTCAGCCACACCAGCCTACTCGTGCTTCTCCTAATACAAAAGGCACATTCCCACTTCTGGGCCTTTGAACTGTGACCACTACCTAGAACACCCTTCCCCAGATACTCTCACAGTTTACCCCTTTATCTACCTCCAGATTTTGCTAAGATGGCACTTCTTCCTCCATGATGCCTTCACTGACCACGTAGTTGCCTTAGCCCTCCCTATACCACTTACTGCCCTGGTACACACTTGTGTCTTTATTTGCTGAGTGCATTTGTTTTTTGACACATAGTCTCACTCTATAACCTAGGGTGGAGTGCGATAGCACAATCTCGGCTCACTGCAACCTCCACCTCCCAGGTTCAAGTGATTCTCATACCTAGGCCTCATGAGTACCTAGGACTAGGACTACAGACGCACGCAACAGTGCCCGGCTAATTTTTGTAGTTTTAGTAGAGACTGGAGACAGAGTCACACTCTGTTGCCCAGGCTAGAATAGAGTGCAGTGGCATGATCTTGGCTCACTGCAGCCTCTGCCTCCTGGGTTCAAACAATTCTCCTGCCTCAGCCTCCCAAGTAGCTGGGATTACAGGCACCTGCCATCACACCTGGCTAATTTTTATATTTTTATTAGAGACGAGGTTTTGCCATGTTGGTCAGGCTGGCCTCAAACTCCTGACCTCAGGTATACACCTGCCTCAGCCACCCACAGTGCTGGGATTATATGCATGTGCCACCACGCCTGGCCTGTTTTTATTCTTTGTAGAGACGGAGACTTGCTCTATTGCCCAGGTTGACCTCAAACTCCTGGCTCAGACAATCCTCCTGCCTTGGCCTCCCACAGCACTGGGAGCTACCACGCCTGGCCTGATATGCTTGTTGGTCTTGCTAGTTATCATCCTTCTCGCTCTACTGGGACCCCAGGTTCAAAGGCAGGGACATGAGCTGTCATGTTCACAGCACGGGGCCGGGCATTCAGTTTGTGCTTACTATGAAAGTTTTGTCCACTGGATGAATGAATGGGTGGTGCTGAAACCACGCAGGCCCCTATGCCTGGAGAGTTGTTTGAGGCAGCTGGACACCCAGAGTTTCCACCTGGGCACTTACCGCTCCAGGGAGAGGCCCCAGGCAATGACCGACACATTCTCAGGAAGCCCCATGGGCAGCAGCATCTCTGGACGGAAGACCCCCGAGTTTCCGACCTCCACCCACTTTTTCAGGCCTGTAGGGGCAGGACAGAGAAGACAGGGGCAGCGCGTGTTGAGTTTCTGGATACTGCTGGTACAGGTTCTGAGTCTGGTGGTGAGCTTGGGAGGTGGGGTACAGGTGTGGCGGTGGGGTACAGGTGTGGCATTGGGGGGACCCAGGCTGAACCATGGTAGCCTGAGACCTCCCTCCCACCCCAGTACCAGGGCCCACCCTGACCTTGGTGGTAGCTGAACACCTCCATGCTGGGCTCTGTGTATGGGTTGTAGGCTGGCTTGAAGCGGAGTTGCGTGATACCTGCAGGGAGTAGGGGCGGGCAGGAGAGCAGGGGTTTGGAGGATAATGCTGGTGATCAACACACCCGCCTGCTGCCGCACCACCGCTGCCCACCCCTACCCCCCTGCTCACCCAGCTTGGTGAAGAACTCCCGCAGAACGCCCATGAGGTGGCCCAGGGTGAGGCCGTGATCCGCCACCACACCCTCGATCTGGTGGAACTCAGCCAGGTGCGTGGCGTCCAGGGTCTCATTCCGGAATACGCGGTCGATGGAGAAGTACTTGACCGGCGTGAAGGGCTTCTAGGGGTGACAACCGAGCCAGGCCCAAGTATGGGTCAGAAGGTCCCTTTGACAGCACCCTCTCCCCACTCTGGCCCCCACCTGGGCCAACCGCACCTTTTGGGCAAGGCGATAGAGTGCACGGGCGCTGGCTGAGGTGGTGTGGGTACGAAGTAGGTTTTTCCGGGCCTCATCCAGCTTCCAGGTATACTTGTACCTTCAGGAGGGAAGGTGGGAAGTCCATGCAATGGCCCAGGGGTCCCCAGCTTCCTTCCCTTCCATACCAGGTGAGTCCTGCCTCACCCCTGTGAGCCGTAGCCTCCCTGAGAGTGGGTCCGCTTGACCCGCTGGACGTAGTCCATTGGGAGCTGCAGGGCCTCAGCTGGATCTGGGCAGGACAGAGCAACATCAGGTCAGTCAACGAGCATTTCCCTTTCTTTTTTTTTTTTCAGACAGGGTCTCACTTTGTTGCCCAGGCTGGAGTGCAGTGGGTTGCAAATCTGGGCTACTGCAACCCCTGGCCCTCCCAGGTTCAAGCGATTTTCTCAATGCCTCAGTTTTCTTCCATTGTGTGTATTTTTCTTTTTTTTTTTTTTTTTTGAGACGGATCTTGTTCACACCCCAGCCTTAAAGTGCGCCAATGGCTTGCAATCTGCTCACGCAAACCCTCCCAAGAGCCTGGTATTAAGTGCCCGCCACCACACCCGGTACCTTTTATTTTTAGTAGAGGTGGGGTTTCCACAATGGTAGTCCAGGGTGGCTCAAACTGCGACCTCACGTATCCACCCACCTCAGCCTTCCAATATTGGGAATATAGCGAGAGCACTGCACTGGGCTTATTGTTGTACATATGTATGTATGCATTATTTATTTATTTTGAGGTGCCAGTCCTTGCTCCACCTCCCGTTTCATGCCATCCTCCTGCTTCACCTCCTGAAAGTATCTAGGCTACAGGCCGCCCCACCACGTCTAATGTGTTGCTATTTTAAGTAGAGAATGGGTTTCCATCATTAAGGTTAGCCCAGATGGTCTTGATCTCCTTGACCTTATGATCCCCGCCTCCTCGCCTCCCAAAGTGCCTAGATTACAGGTGTGAGCCACCACGCCCTGCCTAACCTGAATCTTGCGCCACTGCCCATGGCCTTGGAGTGCAAAGTGCACACTTCCCTCGCTCACCGCACCTCCCTCCTCCCAGGTTCAGCAATTACTCCCTGCCAAGCCTCCAAGTAGCCTGGGATACCAAGAAGTGTGCACCCACCGCAGGGGCCCCCCCTAATTTTTTATATTTTGGTAGACATGGGTTTTACCATGTTGGCCAGGCTGGTTAAACTCCTGACTGGAAGTGATCTGCCCTGCTGGGCCCCCAATGCTAGGAATTAATGCCACTGCCCGCCTTTTTTTTCTTTTTTTAAGGTATACGGTCCTTCCCTCTGTTGCTGCCTGCAGTGCAGTGATGCAATATAGCTCACTCAGCCTCAAACTCCAGGGCTCGAAAATACCTTCACCTTAAAGCCTCATGAGTCTACAACACAAGGCATGCACAACCATGTCCAGCTAATTTTTTTGAAGATGGGGTCTTCCTATTCTCAGGCGATCCCCAAACTCCTGGGCCTCAAGCAAGTCCTCTTCCTTACCCTCCCGACATTGGATTATACCCACTGAAGCCCTGGCCAAGTTTTCCTTCTTGTAAAAAGGGGAATAGTAGTGCTTCCATACTTTGCAGGAGATTAGACTAGTGTTAACATGTGATTATCTTGATAATTTTTGAGTCTATGACAATTATGAAAGAATGATATGCTCCCCTCCTGCCATGTAAACCGACACCCAATGACTCAACTGCCTGTTTGGTCAGAAGGCCACCATTGGGGAATCATCCATTCCGACAGTGCAAGGAATAAAGAAGAAATGTACAGAAGAATAACATAAGGTGAAGCTTCTGTAAAACCCTTTTTAAGGGGTGAGCCGGAGTGGTAGGCTGGCCTGTCCTGGTGACACGTGAGCAGAGGTTTGGGCTGCAAGCCTGCCTTGGAAGATCTGCGGAGAAACACAGCTCTCCAGCTAAGACAGAATCGTCAAAGCAAGAGGCCTGAGGTGGCACACCTGGATGCTCAAAGAAGACAGCAGGCCAGGCAGGGTGTGGGTCACACCTGTAATCCAGCACTTTGGGCCTAGCAAAGAGACTGTTGAGCTCAGTAAGTATCGAGACAGCCTGGCCCCAACATAGAACAGAAACAAAACAAACAAAATACTAATTTTAGCTAGGCCTGGTCGCCACAGCCTGTAATAGCCACTATGGGGGCCAAGGCAGGAAGGAATACTTGCAGGTCAGAGTTCAAGACCAGCCTGGCCAAACATGGTGAAACCTTGTCTCTACCTAAAAACACAAAATACCGAGGCTGGTGGCGGGTGCC